TAAGTTAATAAGCTATTAGGAGCCACCTAACAAATAATTTTCTTGAGTATAAAGTAATATTTTCTTTTATCAGCGCGGCTTCTATTCATCGTGATTCGTACATTTTCTCTTCAGTGCTCGATGCAACATCTTGTAATGTGTCATTTGCAATTGTCTTCAGCACGAGAACACAATCGCCGCTATAAGGCTTCCCCTTTTTATGCAGCCGTCGAGCGGCAATATCTCAAATGCGCCACAAGGCTTCCCGTAACTTTCGAATATCAGACTTGATATCATTCGTATCGATCTTTCAAGTAAGATCCGTTAAAAATCGCCCGTTCATTTCTTCCAAGTTCTTCACGTTGAACAGCTCGACGATTAAATCTCGAAACACTTCCCCTCGTATGTAGCCCGGAATGCAAATTAACGCGGGGGCGGGAGGGGGAGGGGAGGGATACCGCTAATAATTTACACCGTATAGGCAGTGCCGCGATAAAGCAATCTCGTTCGGAGCAACAATCAAACGCAGATTGGCGCGTACGTTATGCACCGCGTAATCGTAAATCTCGTATTCGCGGAGCGCCGTAAGAAAAAAATATTAGCTAGCAAAAATTTTCTATTCCCTTTCACTTACAGTGTACCGCGCGCGCGCGCCTGATGGTGACGCAAGCACGACAGCACCGCGAGTTTCCATCGCGTATCCTCGCGATCATGTATCGCGTGCGCGATGCATACTCGAGAGGTGATTACAGTCCCCGTATAAATAAAAGAGGACGGCAGGCCGTACGGAGATGATCCGAACGTTTCACCTTTTGATGCGATACTCGGTAATTTGGTTCTCGTTTGGAAATCAAAGTAATCCGAAGACCGGGCCGTCTCAGTGCGGGATTTACGCTCAAATTGCAGGTGTATCGGTAAACGCGCGAATAAGATCACGTCCGGGACCTTCCGCCCGCAGCTGCTAACCGAGTTATCCAGGCCGTCCTCACCTCATTTCTCGTCGCGCTCTTATTGGACGTGCCGCCGTATTCCACGGTAGAATAACTTTGGTTTTGTCAATGGTCGGGTTTTGCGGTTTCGCGAGCGTCTCGTAAATTTTAGAACGGAGTTGCAGCGGCGCGTCACGAAGTAGAGTTTACCTACGAGCTGACGAAATTGCAGGTCGCCGATAAAGCTCGTAAAGCGGTACATCGTTATCGAACACGTAGTCGTTTGAACTTTGAATTAAGCCCCGGCACTGTTTTTATATCTGCGTAATCCCTTGCAATCTTATCGCGTGTGTTAACGATTTTTGTTCGCGCGTTGTTGAGAAGATAACGCGCAGAGTGGACGAATTCGTATGGAAATGAACAACACAGAGGAAGCATCTTTAGATCGAAGATATCATTGAAAGTAATTGTGTCATGAAAATATTATTGATCGTTCCTCCGATATAATTTCAAATCAATCTCGTGCAATATCGCGCGATAATATTTAATCGGCGGTACCTGATACGCGGGGGGTCGATTTGTAAAATCGAATCGCGCGTAAACGCGGCGAGAGACACTCGCTCGTGCACGTTGCACGCGGATGTCGTATCAATGAAGAGAATCTAATCGGCGAGCTGGGCGCGCGAGCACGCGGGACAGAAAACACCCGGGGGAATAGTTTTCCTCCGCGGAGCACGGACTCGCGTCTCGCCGTCCCGCGGCTCTCTCGATCTATTTAAAATCCGTCGCGCTCGCGAAAATCTATTTTACGTTTCTCGACGCGAGATAGTTTTTCTCGGCGGAAACGGGGGCAAATCGTCGTAGTGTCGTAGCGCGAGCATGGAGTTCCGCGTGGAGCGGCCGTGCGCCGCCAAAAATACTCTCGACTGGTTCAAAAGCCAAACGGCCACTGTCCGCGGCCTCGCGCGCATTTTCTCCGAGTCGGGACATCTGTTCGGCGAATCCTTCCAGATATTAATTAGCCGGGCAGACGTTAATGTCCGGCCGACTGATGGTTCCCCCCCCCCCCCAACTTTCTCTTTTAAGCTATATGCAACTGGCAAATAACTGGCGAACGAGTTATTTGACGATTCGCGTGACGTAAGCGCGCTCGTGGGCGCCGATAGAAAGCCGTGAGGATGGGACGAGACAATACCTTCCCTTTCCTCCGTGGCGGACAATTAAATTGAAATTATAATTCGACGGCCAACGATCCGGCAATCGGCGGCTATTACCGGATACCCCCGTGCAAACACCATAAAATTGCACAAAGATCTACTTTCTCTTTATACGGACAATTCCACGGTGAACTCGCTTGACCTCGAGCGACCGACTTCGACATCCACGAATGTCGTTCAACGGAGCATCCGCGCGCGGCCACGGAGTGTCGATGGCCAAACGCGGCGGTAAATAATATGTGGACCGGAGCTCAGGCGTAATAAAATCGGAGCACGGACGCGAGGTACGCAATTACAGCGCACGATTGATCGCAACGCGCGCGCACGGCTTCCCGGTTTCCATGATCTTAATCTCGGCGATAACGGCTATTATTATTATTATTTTATGCGCCTCGCTTTATCGGACGCGGCCGCGTATTGACATAATATCGAAAATAAAGCATCGGCGCGAGGCAACGTAACTTTTTATACGACGATTCCCCTTTCGTCTTTTACCGCGAAAGGAAAATCGTCGAGTGTACGACGACTGTAGACGATTTCTCGTCGGAGAGGCGGACGCGTCGCGCGCGGATTAGACCGATAGCGTCCTCGCGGTAATTGCTTCATTGTTTCATTGTCTTCTTTTTCGGTGTGCAACAATAACGGGACAAATATCACCGCGAATCTCAGTCGTGCCGCATCGCGGACGGTCGGCGCGTCGGGGCACGCGCGTGTTATCTCCGACGAAAAACTCTCAGGCGGAGCGAGATCGACGGAGGGAATTGGGTTTCGGTTAGCAACAACGCGGCACGCAAAACGTTGAGATGGACGCAACGAGTTCGAGCCGGGCAGGGAAACGTAGCGTCTCTCTCTCTCTCCCCGGATCGGAACACCCGTGGCACCGACTTTCACGTTCTAAATTCCATTATCTTTACCGCGCGCTTTTTACGTTCACGTGCTGCGAGGAACAATGCCGTTTAATCGGCGCTCGGATCTACCGCGGCGGAGCAATCCGTTACGATCGACGCTCGAACGAGAGCCCGCGCGATCCGGACGGAGGGGCGACAGGTTTTCTTCCCCGGGGCGGTCGTCGAGCTTACCAAAATGCATATCCACTGTGCCGAGAGGGTAGAGCGGCGCAACGTAGCACGTCAGCGCGAAAGTATCCACAACAGGAGGAAGCGCGAGAGGGAAGCGTGGAGCGGGACCGGAGCATCCGCGCTGTTGTAGCACACCGTGAGCACTCGCGAGCCCCTTTTTCTTCTCTTCACAGCCGGCACAGACGCGACCGAGAGGCGACGCGCCGTTTCCTACGAGCGCCTCGGACCCCTGGTTCCGTCGTACTCGCGCTCGTCACGACGCATGAATGACTCCTTCGCCACGCCGCGCCGAGTCGAGCCGAGCCGAGCCGCGCGGGGTCACGCCAGGGTCCGTTCGCGGTAATCGGCGGCGGCGGAGAAACCACGTCGAATGGACCGCGCGAAGAAGTTGGAGAGCTCCGAGCGTTGCCGCGGTATGTCTCGGTTAGACGGGACGGACGGACGGATGGAAAAACGAGTAGGAGGCGAAGGAAGAAAGGGAGGGAGAGAGAGAAAGAGAGAGAGCGAGCCGGTTAGACCCGTAGGAAGAGACTCGTCTGGCTGACCCGCGGTACCAAGGCGACTACGAGCGTGGATCCCTCCCCACGGGAAGAACCCCCGCTGCTCCGCCGAAGACGGAGGGGATGCTGGCGGTGTAAGATGCCGGTGATGTAAAAGCCGGAGAGTCGAGCCGCGTGTTGCACAGAACTACGCGGGGAGGATACCGCGATCACAAATCGAACACGAGAGACGCGCACCATTTGCGTTTAAATATAGCGACGCTCTAGGGAGGGAAAAAAAAAAGAACGAGGGACGAGAACTAGACAAACGGAAAGGGAAGGCACGGGGGGGGGAGGCGGGAGAAAGAAGGAGACGCTGAGGAAAAGAACGGGGAGACGATCGTGGAGGGGAAGGAAGAAAGAAGAGAGGACGAGGAGGAAGGGAACCTTGGATCAACGTGCTCGTTGTAACGTGCCCGTCCACCGGCGGCGACCGTGGAACGGCGAACTCTGTCGGCTCGTGCAGCCGGCAGGCAGCTGCTAGTCTCTCCAGCGCGCAGCGAAGCGCATCGCTTGAGTCCGAACGCGGGCCTTCGGCAAAGATCGGAGCCCGTAACAAAACAACAAACGTGGGGTACGCGCCGAGTGTTAGCTCCCCACCCTAGCCGGGCACGCCGTCACATCCGTTCCTCTTAGCCGCTTGCGTCGCTCGGGCTTAGCCAGCGAAAATTCAGCCCGGTACGCACGTGCTCGAAGACCAACGCGGCATTATTCTTAGCACGTATTCCACTGAATCGTGCCGCTTCCTAGCATTCTCGCTTGGCCGCTGACAATTAAATCGGTTAATAAAGGGTTCCCTCGGCCGGCGGAATAATTTATCAGCATATTTATGCTCCGTTCCGCTTCGTGCGTCCCGCGCTGGCCAATTTACTTGTTGAAAAAAAAACAAAAAAAAAACAGGAAGACAAGTACAAATGTATGCACAAAAATTACCCGAGGGGAAACTTGAAAGACGTTCGCCTTTCGTTCTGCTGACTTACGTAATTTTTAATCATTTATTATTTCATTATTTCCTAACAGAAAAATGCAGTCGAACGTGCTTCGTTTCCGTGCACAAGCATTTTCCTTTCTACAAGGGTATTACCTTCCTATAGTAAAGTGAAACAAAGAAAAATAAAAGAAAGACCACAAGGGACATCTGGCGTATCATCTGTGGACCACATCTGGCGAAATTCGACGACGAATGAGAGAGAGAGAGATGGAATGAAACACTAACTTTGCGACCACCTAAACACAATAGCAATAGAAAGCACTTACCATGTGCTCTACCGCCTTTTCCTCCAGTTCTGGCAGAGTCCAGTTGATGTGGAAGCTCAAAGGTTGAAGACGCGATTCCATCTCCCGTAGCCATTTTCGTAGACATTTCACCTCGCGTTCAAAGTCTAGAACGCACCGACCGCGTGTACATTAGCGAGTTGCACGAAGGACGCGCAAGTTTTTAAGGCAATTACCTGCTGATATATCTTGTTGACTAGATACCGGTCGGTCTATGGGCGCCATAATTTGCTCAACTAGTTCCCATTTTGCGTTCAAGTGATCTACACGCCACGCCACTTCGTCTTTTAAAGCAGGGGCGCGAGAAATTAGCTTTTCCGCTTGCTCGTTGAACAGCTTGCGTCTGTACGCCTTGCGTCGCAGCTCCTCCATATGAGCCTGCGATTAACGATGCGTTCGATTTAGAAATAATCACTTTAACGCGAGACGTAGTCTTACACTTGGACTACAGGTCGGATTCGCAGATACGTACTGCGCGCAGGCTTTTGTCCAGAACATTTTCCTCCTTGGAGTAGACCAATTCTTGAAGAATTCTTAACCACGAGTACAGCTCCGAAAATTGATTGCTGACCTCCTTCAAGCTCCACGATTGCGTCGACACGTCTGTCTCGTCCCATGTAAGTTCGCCGTTCGCTTCCTGAAGTGTTTAAGATAATTTACACTCGGAGAAATGTTAAGTTACATTGGACCGTTTTACTTTTTGGTCAATCTACCTATATTTTAACGCCAAATTTCAGAAGATTAAACTACCTACACTGGCCAATGCTCTTATTAAAAAACCGATTACAACGTTGCTTCTCAATCGATTCTACTTTTCTTCTAACAAAGACGTGTAAGTTTACTTGACCAATATGTAAGTTTTTATCGATCATGTTAGTTGAGTGTGTAACAGTATGACTTTTCTCTTGTCTCTACTCAGTTTGTCACTGTGTATTGGCCAAACGATTGACTAACGACGCAGCAATTATTACTCGGGTATGAATTTCTAGTTGATTTGCGATAGGCCTACAGCATTGTATTATAATTTGCAATTTGCGATTTCGGATCACTTGAAAAGGGCCCAAATCCGGGGCCGAAACGTTGTAATCAGAATAAAAACATTGGCCAGTGTAGGTCGTTTAATCTTATGAAATTTGGTTTCAAATTACTGGCGATATATAATTACCACTTTTGTATGTTTTAACAATTTTATAATAACTCACTGTGTACTTATTTCAGTTAATCTATTTATATAATTTGGATGCTGAGAACGACTAAGTAAAGTCGAAACGTTCGCCTATGTAATTTATTGAGAATATAATTTCAGTTTTCTAACATCCTTGCATACTAGCTCGTTGTTTTTGGGCCTCAAAAATTTGGATTATTCGTGCACGCATACAACGAGCGTCACCTTTGTATTACGTTCAAGATAATATATTGTTCAGTGCCGATAGAAAATCTCTGCACGTAGGATTGACAAGACTCGGATAAATTTCGAGCTTACCTTGCAGGTTTCGATTAAATTAGTGTCCATAATATAATCATAATTGGATCTTATAGCCGCCCAAAAGTCGTCTTTGCAGTCCTCGCAGTTTATCCACATTCTCTGTACGTTCGTTTGCTTTGGATCTTTCCTGGAAGCACACGGGTCGGTTCAGTACCAGCTAATTGAAAAGTGAGTGTGCATCGACGCGCGCGTGACCGGTGATTATTAATAGAGCCAAACCTTTTCTTGGTGAGACTGTTGTACAGCCTCTCCGTCGTCGTTCGGACATGTCTCTGCCTTTCCAAGCTCTGACTATTTGGCTGAAGTGACGTTAGTGAGGAACTCATCCTTCTTGTCTTGCGGTAATCTGCACTCAAGACACGCCAAACGTAACAAGGCCGTCTCGGCGCCGACTTGGGACAAGGTTATATAAAGGCTGAAAGTTTTTTCTCTACAATAATAGAATTGCATTCGACGACCCGGTTCACCGTGTTGGCGCGCAGCGGCCGGTCGCGCGTACGGGGGGCGCGTTTTGCATCGCGGGTGAATTTATTGTGCAACACCGTCGAAATTCCTTTTAAGGTACGCCGCTACGGAGAGAAAGGAGGGATTTCGCGGACTGTTAAAAACCCCCCTCGAGGCAAATCGGTTTAGAAATAAGCCCGGCCCCGTCGTCGTCGGCGGACGGCGATTCATTCGCGCCGCGCGCGAAAATAGCGAGGCGCGAACGCCGCCAGTTCCAGAAAAAGAAGAAAAGGGGGCGAGAAGAAAGTTCGCGGTGCGGCTCGACTCTGCCATTTGTCGCCGCCGGCGGAGACGACGACGACGAGTCGTCGAGGGGGCAATGCTCACCCGTGTTGTCGACGGTCATCCGGGTGGCCCCCCCTGGATCAGGTAGCCTTCGGTCCCGCGGCGCGCATCGCCGCTACCGTCTCGCCGACGAAACCGCGAGCGACGGGAAACCGGAGAGCTGCTCGACGTCGTCGGTGGCTCGCGCGGGATCGGCTGTCTGTCGGTGGTGGGGCGCCCGCGCGCACACACATCCGTAGACCGTGGGGACACACCTGCTGTCGCGACGCGCGGGGGGTGGGGGGGAATGTCACCGGGCGATGAAAAATCTCATCGCTCGCGATCACCGTGAGCGCTCTTGCCGACCGGAACGCGGGCTGGCGAGGGGCGAGGGGGGGGGTGTTGTGTCGCGCCGACGAGAACGGCGGCCCAGCGGCCGGGCGATTATGCGACCGTTGCGACGCTACGCCGACGACATAACCTTCCCCGGGACGTCCGGGAGGCGCGATGCGACGTGAGACGGGCCCGCCGGAGTTCCCACGGCGACGAAGAGCCGCCGCATACCAGTAGCGCGCCCCCGTGTGTCGCTCGGCGCTCCTCCTCCTCCTCCTCCTCGTTCCGCAGCACGCGCGGCGATCCGACGACACGGGATCTCGTGTCAGCGCCCCTCGGTGCTGTCGACGTACGCCGCCGGGCCGGGCGCAGCGAGAGCTCACGGGGGATTCACCGTCCTCGGCCGCCTCGTCGACTTGGTTAGCTGTACTCGACGTCAGGGACGAGCCTTCCCCCTGATAAGCATTTTCGGAGCACGTAACTCCCAGAGGGAGAGCCGCAGGTGCAGCAGCGGCGTGCACAGGTGCGGCGCCGACTAACGGGGATCCGCCGGATCGCCTCGTCGCGCCTCGGCGCCCGCGCGTTACCGGCGCGCGGTAAAACAGTCGGCGGTGTCTAACCTGCGAGCTTACGTGGATCCTGGTGGATCCCTTTACGAAACTTTGTTTAATAGAAAGAGAGAGAGTGCACGGAACGTTACAGACATGACTACGACGAGTTACTTGGACTTGGACTTGGACAAGCTATTCGAGCGGCACACTATCAAGGAGATCGAGGAGATTCAGAAAAAGATTCAGCTGGAAAGCGACAGGAAGAAGATAGAGTTGCGAACGCTGGTCGGGTAAGGCTCCTCCACGCACTTCCAAGTTAGCTCGATTAACTTTTGTAATGATTAAAAACGCTATCCTTGATCGTGGTTCGTCGGTTTTTACCTGAGAATTTACAAGCGGGTGGAATTACTCGAAATCGAGGAGTCAAATCCGCACGTGAGACATTCGTCGGTTTTCACATCAATGACTTTCAGGGAGAGATATCGGGACTTGATATTGGCTGCTGACACAATCGGGAAGATGAGGATCACGTCCGAGAAAGTTATCGAGAGAATCGCCAACGTAGAGGACAGGTTTAGGGAGCTGCAGAAGAAATATCTCATCGGTTTTAAAACGGAGCCGATCGAGGACAGGCTGGACAAGTATTGCTTTTCACATATCGTCCGCACGTGCTGGGCCGAGCGCGCACGGAACGACAGCCTCGGCGTTAGCGTTGGAGTTTAAGCCGCGATTTGTCTCTTTTTTTTTTGCAGAAGGGGTCACGTTTTTGACTCCGTCGTCATCCAGATCAAGATCCTAATGGACATCCCGCAGTACATCTGGACGAGCATCGAGAATCAGAATTTGCTGTTTGCCACGCAGTTATACATAATAGCGCAACACATAAATTACAGCCTGATGTTTGAAGTCGGCAGCGTCGAGCTGCTGCACAGATATCCAATTGTCTCGAAGCAGTGGGACGTTATCATGCAATTCAGGAACATCATATCTAACGAGTGCAACAAAACATTGCAGTCGTTGGACGTTTCGACCACAGTTGGTATACAAATTGTTGCTTATTTCGTGATGTTTCGTTGTTAGTTACCGATGACGTGTATTCACCTTGTAGAATGCCGCAAACTGCTTGGCGTCCCTCGTGTTCTTGAATGAATCGTCGTTTGCGAATCTTTTAGAGAGATTAATATCCGCGAGAAGTCACGCCATTGAATCTGTCATCAAGGGCGAGAGTCACGACAGTGTCAAAAATAAGCTCAAGCTGTGTATGAAAATACTCATACAGACTGTCCACCTAATATATTCGTGCTTTATCAGTAAGTATTTCATTTATTGTACGAACCTGATGCGACGAGCGGAAAATTTCATTCCGACGTGCTTTACATGTGACTACACAGATGCGGACAATGCGCCTGGCGGTTTGGTTTTGCAGTTTATAACAGATATAAAAGATCAAGAAGCGTACACCTTGCTATCACAGTTGGACTTGGATCAAGACTTACTCGAAGAGTTCCTGCCATCTGTTACCAAGCATCACAAGCCGTTCGTTCAGGACGTACCGAAGAACTTCTGTTCGTCAGCTCTTCAAGATAGCGTTAAATCTTGGTTGGAGTGGGTGAATGATTTTTCCAATTTCGAGGTCACTAAATTGTTAGATTTAATAATTTCCATCAAAGGCCTGTATAACGTTCGGGAAGAAGCCATCAGTGTAAACCTGCCTGAAAATTGGAATTCCATATGGGAGGAGCTCTCATTGCCGAGAATAAGTTTCTGGATGGAGTTCTTCCAGCCTATTATAACTAAACGAGCAAAATGTAATTATGTCTACATAAAGAGGTAAAGACTATTTGCTTTAATTAACGACGATGATCTGTCAACAGGTATTATAACGAATAAATGGACGGATACGCTGGTCGATTTAAAGTCCGATATAGCAGAATTGCTCGATAAAGTGGCGCATGATAAGTTCGAATTTCCGGAACACGATTTACGTTGGTTCGTATGGAAAGATTCCCCCACCGACATCCCGCAGAAACTTACAAAGAACGGTGGATTAGACAATAGAAGGTCCTTGCTGATGAAAGCCAAAGGGTTTTCCCCAAACGTGATGAAATTGTGCGAAAAATTCGACGAAAGTCTATATTCGCTATTGTCCGATCTTGAACACTACTTGTACGAAACCGAACGAGTAATTACGATAAAAGACAGCTTACTTTCGGCAAACATATCCTTGATTGCAAATTCATTCTCCGATCGCAACGAAGTTCAAGAACATTTGCAAGTGATCAGCATCGAGAAGATCGAAGAGCTTGTAAAATTTATGAAGAACACATGCGTCAATGATAGACCGAAACATGGCCAAAGTGATATAAACGCCATAGTCTTGGCGAGATTTCTCTTTGCATTGACTACTTTATGTCCGAATTTAAACAAATGTTTTACTTCGTCGAAGATATCTGGACTTACCATTACAAATGTCAAGTGGCAAGCTGTTTGCGACAATCTGAAGGAAGAGAGTACATGCATGTGGTCGATTTGGGCTAATATATATAAAGTTAAAATATCTGAGCATATGAAGAAGTGTATATTGAGAGAACCGATCGATGGGTTGCGCGTTCATTGGATCGTCACGGAATGGGAGAAAGTCACCATCGAAGAGGAATCCGGTGAAGGAAAACGAATAAAGTCTGAAATTTTAATACCGTATCAGCCATCGATACCCTTGCAGAAATTCTTGACCGCCATCTGTAAAGATTTAAATAAGATTATACCTCACACGCTTCCAAAGTGAGTAAATAATCCATCCAGCACAGGTCGAAGTACTTGATTTATCATGATATACATTCCGGCTTTCAATTTCAGGAGGGTACTGCAGCAAATTATTGAAAGCATTATTACGGAATTGTTTAATTATTATCTGAACGCGTCTAAGAACATGGACCTCAGACAAAAGCAAGCGTTTCAAGTGCTGTACGACATAAGGTATTGTACGTTGCTCATGGTGCCCCATGAAAACAAGATTCTTAATGAATTGTCAGCCAAGACGTGCGACGCAGTGCTTGCGAAAATAGATCCGTTCGATTACGATGTCTTCAGCCCGTTCATCCACACCAACGTTAGAAAATCTGTTCAGAGATCTTTGGTTAGTGTGTTTATGAAGCTAGAGGTTTTAGGTGATAACAATGCGATTTATAATATCTAATTTTTTACCAATTTGAAGGAATAATACAATAGGGTAATATTTTTCGCAATAAATTTAAAAATAAGACATTTTACTCTTTAATCTTTATTCCTTCGAATTGGTGTTCACCACGTGAGAGCTTTGTGAATTTTATTGATTTGTCTAATTTTTTTAGTTGATATTTGGAAACTTGGTCAGTCATTTAGAACAACTACACTCGACATTGGGTGCGCGCAACGAACACGCGAGCAATGACAAAACCGAACCGCCTGCGGTGCTTGCAGTTTGTACAGGAGCACCGTGGTTCCCGCCACTAACTGTGACCGCTCCAACAAGAAACTTGCCAATTTTGTCGGTGCCAGTACCCGATAAAGCGCAGGTATACATCGAATGTTCTCACATTTCAGTTATATGATTAATAGCAAAGTTGCCAAATTGAAATAATAGGTTTGTCTAAATCAAAATCTATATGTTATACGTATTCCTAGATTTTTGCTCTTTGAACGTGATACAAGTATCACGAATGTAAAGATTTGGTAAGCCAGTAATGTGATCTTGCATGGCGTGAATTTGCATTAACACAACTAATCAATGTTGGATCAACGCAGTTATATAATTTCATTAATCTTTTTACGTAACGAATTGTCTTACCTATTTTTTTTTTTACTTCGAAAGATGAGAAAGTAAGGAGTCGCGTTACATTGAGTTTGTTGGGAAAACACGTAATGTCATTGCAGTTAAGTGCAATTGGAATAACAGCTACTGTACAACGTAATTTAATAAATGTGTATGTAAATTTTTGCGAGATCGCAGTGCTAACAGCTTTGCGAATATATAACAATACAGGAAAGTCCCCTATTATGAGATAGGCTCCTAATATGAGACAGTAGGGTTTCTGCTAAATTAATAGGCACCGTCCGTTGGTTCTGGCATTAATTTATTATCCTTGGAGTGAAATCTGTTTAGTGGAAAATTAATCGTTACATCGCGTGATCGTCGCGAATCAAGATTTGTGGCTGAATTTGGACGTTTAAAACCTACCATCTCGTATTAGAATCCCGTCCCGTAATGGAGAACCTTCCTCTATATGTATACATATGTATAGAAAATAATTATCTTTCACATTAAGATGTATATTTGTTTTGCAGCGTAAGAAAGTAACGAAGGAGCAGGCGAAGAACGATTCTACCAGTGCAATAAAATCCGGGGCGGCCGCGTTTTTCGGTGCGATGGGATCAGATTGGTTTAGCAGCAGCAATTAACTATTCCTCTTGTTTTAGGAAGATCGTGTAAATATTGTCATGTATACATATTGTAAATAAGATATTAGAAAAGAATGTCTTTTTACCATTAGCTGTTTTATACCAATAAAACAAGTTTAGGATGCTTGAATTTACATAAATAAAAAAAAGTTGCACTCTGTTTTTTTCTTACAGTGTTTCTCAGTTTCTCTTATAAATCTAAACAAGATAACTGGTATCGAGAATCAAATCGTCGGACCGTTAGCGACTGCCTGCACAGTTAAGCCATCCAAGTCATTTATTTACACGTTACTTTTAACTAAACCCTTTTTACTCATTAACCTACATTATTTCATAACTGCGTTGTTGTTGTTGATTTGCAGTATCACTCGAAGAGGACCCAAAAGAATAGGGTCGAAACGTTGTGTAATAAACTGATTAAATAATTAGCCAGTTGGGTTGGCTATAAGTTTCCCGCTCTCAGTTTATTTGCAAATCTTGCAAGGTGGACGTCTCTCAAAATTTATTCCATGTTCGATACAAAGTTCTCGCCATCCTGTCGCGCGGTGGCGTCGTCCGGCGACCGCAGCGCGAACTTTAATTCGATAAGGGAAAAGCGCCTCGCCGGATAAGAGCGAGGGTGAGTGAGGGAGAGATGGAGAGGGAGCGACGCGGAGTGAGGCCGAGCGTTACGCAATCGCCGTCGTTCGCGGTGGAAAAAGGGGGGCCGGGAGAGGGGGTCGACGGCGAAGCACGCCAGCGCGACGTAGTACACGTTTTGATATATGGCAAGATGGCCGGATGGGCCCAGCTGTGGTGATATCGGCCGTGAGACGTTCCCGCTCGCATCAGAAGAAGAAGCGACGGTACGAGTCCGTGCAGCTGCAGGAGTATCGGGGATCCCGACAGAGCCGTCCCGCCCCTCAAATGGTGAGTGTCGACGTCGAATCGACCCTTTTCATCCCCCCTCGATTTTTGCCGCGCGTGCCGGCGCCGCGACCGCCGTCTGCTAGGCGCGCCGGTTTTGAACGATCGGCCCGCACGGCGTCCGCGCGACGCGGCGCGGCGCCGTCCGGGATTCCCCCGCGGCCTCCCCCGAGGCGGAATTTCGCCGCCCCGGACCATCGGTCTCGCCCCCCGCGTCGCCCTGACACTCGTAAATAATTCGCCCCTAACCGAGGACGCGACGAAACGCCGATTCCGCCGCGATCGCCCGGCGCACACGCGCGCTTTAAACAGTCCGGATCTTCGACCGATTACTCGCGGGCCTCGCGGGCGTATCTTCCCTTTTTTTTTTTGGTTTCTCCTCCTCGCCTTTTCGTTCGATTAGATAGAAACGGCGCCTCGAGGCGGGTGTCCGACGCGGCGGAACTTTTACAGCCGATAATAATTTCGCAGTAAAATTATTATCGGCCCGAAAACGGGAGTGCTCCGTTTGCACGTCGCAGAAAGGGACTAAAGGGCTCCTGTCGGCGTGGCGAGTATATATATTTTTGTAGAGTCCGTCCCTTTTGGTATTTATTCGAACGCATCTCCGTTCAATACATTCTTCGATTGTATGGATTAAGCGATAAAGTTCAGATTATCTTGACGAGTAACCACCGATACGTCAATACCTTCGATAGGAGCCTCGTAATGTATTCTTTGTCCGATTCCCCGAGTGATTTTCCATCGGACGCTCGCGGGGACTCGATTAATTAACACGAATACTCGCGGCCGCGTTCTCACCCCTTCGGCAATGAAGGCACGAAATTCGAAGCAGCATCGACCGACCGCGATGCCAACACGCGCCTTAATTATCTCGCAGGGGCCGCAGTGAAAATTCTCGCCCGTGATTATCACGGAAAATTTATCGCGGCGACACGTCACGCCGCTAATCTTCGTAAGACTTCGATTTATCTAATCTGCCGGCGATTGACTACCAAACCGCCGAGGTTGCGATACCGGGATTCGGTAGTGATCTTTACACACGAAAAATTAAGCGTAAATCTGAGCGAGCGCTACTGAATCCCGCGCGTTAACTGCACTCGCCGCTCACAGCTTCGTGTCTTGACAAAGATTAACTATATTCATACTTTGACGTCATTTATTTAGTCCCTTTGCACAATCGATCTTTTACCTCTAATTTATAATTTATTTTCACACTTTACACTTATAGTCTCGTGAAATGCGGCCACATCTTACGTGATACATCATGTTCTCGCTACCAATTAATCAGATTCTATCCAAGGTATTTCCCCCTTATATTGTTCTTTTAATGCGCTGGTTTTCTCTTTAATTGATTATTTTATATTATTATATGTTTATATCACATGGTTTCAGTTTACTTGAGAAGGGCTCGAAACGGAGCCGAAACGTCTTTTGAAATCTTACCATACGTTCTACTAGTAATTAGACCTAGTATACATTCTATTAGTGAAATGGCAAGTTTTCAGAAGACTCTCACAAAATTCTTCGAAATGCCACGTTGTCCCACGTGATTTTCAGGATAAATTGTAAGAAAAGTTCTCTCCGCGTACAGTAAGTAACCGCAAAAGAGTCGACCGGTGTCTCTCTTTCGCCATCATATCTTGTCGCGCGTATTTTACCTTGAATTAACCCTCGCTATTGTAAACGGTCGAGTTTCACGTATCCTACGATACGATCTATATCGGATCGGATTTGTGGTTTTTCTATGGACACTGGAAAGAGGTGTCCGATTGAATTGTTTTTAAAAATATGCCAAAGTGTTGTGAAGGCTCCCAAAAAGAAAATATGTAGAAAGGAGAGTGCGCCAATGCGAGCCACAAAATGAACGGAACTCGGTTCTCACAATATAGAAACAAAATTTCCCTTTAATAGCATAAACGTTTCGACCCTTCTTCGGGTCTTCCTTGGTAAAACTACAATGAAATCGTCGATGTTTCTAAAAATATATCACCTGACTGTGCATCATGCGGTCCTTCAGAGGGGCGCAGCCCATCGATCATCATAAAATATTGAGTATCTTCGTCGCCCATTTCATTAGCGTGTCGTTTCTCAGACTTGAGAAAGTTATTTCTACAACAATGCGGAATATTAATCTTTCAACGAGCACACGTTAAGATAGTCTTGTTAAATTTATTATGGATGACACGCGTGCTCGTGAATTTGATTATTTTTTTACATTTAATTTACATATGTATATTCTTGTGAAGTATGCAACTTTTTGCCGTGGCTGTTTCACCGCGAGAAGTCACGATGTAGTCGGGAAGAAGCCGTTTCACGTATCGACAAAGGTGACCGCGTGTCCGCGTAAGGCAGGGGCTGGTCGTAAAACTGTGCATGTAAAATGCAAGGTACTTTCCACATGTGAGACACGTTACGTGCAACTGGGGCACCTTTGGCGAACGGGTCCGACGATTGGACCTCTTCGAATTTCAGATAGCAGAAATAACGTCGATCGGGTCACTTTTCACGCGCGGTAGCGCTGATACGCGCCGGTGTATGTAAATTCAAATGTAGTCGATTTTATGCAAAATCCTGTACTTATCGCGACGCGCTTCATCCTCGCGTAAGCCGCGCGAAACGACTTTCGAATGAATCATTAAGATACCTATCGAGAAAACAAGCTTAACAAACATTTCGTCGATATGTTGTCGCTTATCGTTATCGTCTCTCTAATACCGAACTCGACCTCCGCTACTGCGTTCTTGTAGTGCAGCGATTCTCTCGCGAACTTCGTGATTCACACCTAATCTTACAATTAGTATCGCGATTAAGATCGTATCCCGTTTCAATAAGATCGTTGTCTCAATATAACCGCTAAAAATACTTTATATGTGTCCCTTATACCTACACTGGTAAGAAAAATATCTTAACCCAAAAAAATATTACTTCACTCAAGGAAATTATTTATTAGGTGGCCCCTAATAGCTTATTAACTTAAATTTTGGCAATAATAAACGAATTAAACCACGCAGTTCTTCAATTTCAGCATTTATTAAATATCCAAGCAATGTAGAAAATTGCATGACGACCCATGGCTGGTGAAATTGGATATTTTTATTTAAATAGAATAAAAATTTACTTCAGTAACAAAAATAATTTTAAATAAATCTATTTATTTAGTTAAAAAAATTGTTTTGTCAGTGTTAACTTTTAGTAACTGTCGATCGGGCACGTCTCGGATATTTTTCAGCGCTGGAGTAACTTGTCACTCTGGGGAAAAAAAGACAGCAACCCATTTTGGGGCCCACAATTAGTAATCGAATTATTTGGATTGTTCGCAACACTTTAATCTTTTACGAAATTTACCCCGCGTGACTAAAAATCGCAATTAGCTATTCTATCTATATCCAAGATTTTTAAGTAATAAATTATCTCAATTAGTTCTGTCGATATTCAGTAACGCAAAGATAATTTTCACTTAAGAGGCGCTAACCGAAATGTTAAGTTGTTTAACTGCAAAGAAACGGTCAAATTTTTTTCCAGAGTAGAGTCACGAAGAATCCAATATAATTCGATTATTAATTGCGGGCCTCAAAATGGGTTGCTGTCTTTTTTCCCAGAGCAGATTGTTTCGAAAAGAAAATATTTTCCTTTATCCAACAGTTGCATGCTCCTTCTCGTGATAAGCTGCATTTGATAAGTGCGCCACTCATATTAATGTAGCTTAACTTTTAAGCAAATATTTAAGCACTTTATTGAAACGTTGTTCATTTTCACTTCAGGAATATCTCTTAATCTTAATTAGCAATCGTTTTATCCCACTCGCTCTATTATAATCTCGGATTACCGCACGTCGCTGCATCACGGTGGCAAATGTGCGTTTGAATAAAACGCTTATTGTAATTCACTGATAAGCTGACGGATAAACGCATTTGGTGATTCGTGCAATTCTCTCTGCAACTGCGTGAGCAACGTAGCATTTAGTCGAGCACTTGGTCATCGTGAGTTTAAAGGGAGGGGATTCTCCTTCTTAACGTATTATAAAACAGCCGATTATTTTTAACAGCGATAGAGATTAATGACTTTTTGATGATCGTTTTTTGGGAGGATGTTGTTTCTTTTGCCCCGCCGTAGTTTCATCAGCCTTTCACTTTTTGGCTCGCGGCTAATTTTGCTTAGTAATACCGACTTCTCTCCTTCAAGACGAATTTTTATCGAATAATTAGTCGAGCAAAGCGCGCGACGAGAGACGATCCTTATCTATATCGCTTTGC